CCCCCCCCCCCCCCATTGTCTGTCCTGAAACAGGATGGAGGAGTCTGACCTGCTGAAAGAGAGGCTACAGGCCATCACGGTAATGCTTTACTCTATTGTGCTCAAGTGAAAAACCAGTGTTGGAAATTTGCATCTCTAATTAATTATTAGTTAGTTAATTTCACCTGTAACCTCCATTTTATCGGAAACTATGGTAACAAATGTAACCGTTTGTCTTTAATGTAACAGGAGAAGCATCGCATTCAGGAACACATTAGACGGAAGAAACTGGATCTGGACCAAGAGAAACTCAAACTGCAGCATCTAAAGGTCCGCTGCACTAAAACACTGTTTATTGTGTGAATAAATCTGACAACAACACCAGATGAAGTATGTGGTAAACAGTTTAGATTATCTCATATTAGCACAAAGAATCACTGTCCATCTGTTTGTCCGCACATTATTATTCTTCCCATCACCTCTACAGGCACTGTTACAACACTGATTAGCTGCCGTTAACGTGCACTCAGAATGAGAACAACAATCCGTTACTGAACCCTGTCTTCTGTCTTTTGAAAATCATTAGAAAAAAGCTCTGAGAGAGCAGTGGCTGCTACAGGACTCAGCTTCCCACAATGCAACAGACTCCCCACGGCAACAGAGTCTCCTGTATGACCAGCAGCAGACCAGAGCACTCCAGCTCAACATCCATAGGTAGAGAACACACAGACACACACAAACCAATGTGGGCCTGTTGCTAACCCGCACTGTCTGACCTTTAGGATAGAGATGGAGGTGGAGGCTCTGGAGAGAGAGGAGTCTATGGTTTCCACCAACGAGAGCTTCATCCTCAACAGACTGAAGGCTGTAGAGAAAAGTTCAGAGGACATTATCAAGGTACACACACACACACACACACACAACACACACACACCACACACACACACACACACAGAGTCTGTCACAGCTGTATTTTTGTGCTCACTGGATTGTGTCTGTTGTTTAGGAGGCCCAGGACAGCTTTGTTCCTGGTAAGTCATGACATACCTTTTTGGATGTTTTAACCAACACCAAAGATGAATCTATGTTAAAAAAA